ATCTGAGGCATGATTACCATTAATAAGTTATACAGTATAGATATATATATTTTATTTTTAAATCTGTATTTTCATGGGTCCTTCTTCACTCTGGATGACAGACTCATTATAGCTGCTGCTTCATCAAGCACGGCTCTAATCGCTTCGTTTATTCGGTTCTTCTCAGGCGTAGGCGTGTCCTCGTTGTAACCAGGTCCCTCACTTTGTGTCGTGGATGAGATCATCGTAGCAACGAGGGAAACGTGGGTTTAATCTTCATAGCTCATATTCTGCTCGACAGACTGGGCCAAACAGCTGCAGTCAGCTGACGTCAAAGGCGTCTGTTTAGAGAGGAACACTTGGAACCACAGGTGAGGTGCTACCATGAACTGAGCAAGAACCGGCAATGGAGACTGGTGAGGTGTCGACTGAACTGGAGAGCGTTTGAACCTTCGTTGTAATGAACGTGGATGATCTTTGCAGGGTCTTCAGGTGAACTCTCCATTAGAACATGATGGGTCCATGATGGTGCACGCATCAGATGTTTGAGGTCGTGGTGGGTTAATATCGTGAGCGTGGTGCGGTGGACCCACGATGTGGGGTTTCACGGGTCTGGCTCTCTAGTTTATACACTTTGTGAGGATTTGGAGAAGACGCCTGATGGTATTCTGTGGGGAGGTGATGAAACATATACTGAGGTGACATTTTAGGGTTATTTATCCTTAAGATTCCCCAGGAGGAGCTGGAGTGTCACTGAAGACAGGAGTGTCTCGGTTTGCATCCACGACCGACGATATGGAAACGGATAAGAGGTTCAGGAACAGCAGGCTCGGTCATGGAGAACCTGACACTGGAGTCCACACTCTCCACACAGCATTGAATGTCACATTCAGCCATGCTTGTTGCCTGATTGCAATGCAAGAACCACTCGTTGCCTTCACGGTCCGGTGTTCTGCACTAGGTGTGGCTGTGGTCCTTCACTTGCATCCTGTCATGCTGCTGATGGTGTTTCCTCAGCGTGGTTAGACTCGGGCATTCAGGCCTTCAGCCTCAGATCTCCTGACGCAAGACATTTAAAAAGCTCCTGTCCATGTCCTGGATTATGGCTCTGAAACATTTCAACGGTTTGGTTTCTCTGCGTTCTAAACAAGCAGCATCTATTTGACGATCCAGTTTCCATGGAGGATCTGCGCTGGCATGTTCTGTGTACAGTCGTCTCTCGCTGCATCGCGGTTCACTTCTTGCGGCTTCACCGTATCGCAGGTTTTTGAAACCCGCTTTTATATCGTGTGCACGTTCTAACAGGAAGTGACGAGCGTGACGCGTCGTCATCCCGCATGAAGGAGACCACAGTCTGAACACTGCCTTTTAATCTGCGAGACTTTTCAAACTTTTTACGATTTTATTAATTTGTTTTTGTGTTATTGCTCCAGATCAAACTAAAAGATGACTGCAAAGAGCTTTATTTATTTCATTTTTTACAGTCTTTACTGGATGTGACGCTAGCTGCCAGTCACAAGTCTGTAGTAAATGTCTTTAACGGGGATGCTTGTGTTATTTGTAAAGTATTGTTTAATTAGAGGAACGAAACTTTCCTGAGCAGCACTCGTGGTTCTGTTAAAAATAAAATGTTTTATCTTCATGTCTCCAGAATATTGTTTGGGTCTTTAACGTATAACTAAAATAATCTGAAGTTTTTAAAGTGAAAATAAAGTTTTGACCAAATAGGATGATCCAATAAATAATTAAAAACTAAACTATTTAATAAATGCTGAAAACAAATTGAGTATTTTATTGCCGTATTTTCCGGCCTATAAGTCGCACCTTTTTGCCCAATTTGTATGTCCTGCGACTTATACGTCAAAGTGACTTATTATTATTATTATTTCTCCATATTTATAAACCAATTTTTGGATGAGATATGACCATTTTCATTCATTCTGACTGAAAATATTGAACACTACCATTTTCAGCCACTAGATGGCACTCGAGTAGTATGGCATGTTGTTGTGTCATGTAATAGATAAAAGTGGCTATTAATGGCACAATCAGCTTGCCATAATCTGCCACCTTCGTCCAACGCCAGGATCATGCCTGGAGCAACCGTCAAATCAGCTTCATTTCGCTGCCTTGGCAAAATGAAGCAGATTTAACCATTATAGTGCATTTATTAATCAACTGAGAAACACCTTTACTATAATTTCAAGCAAACAAATAATTGTTTTTAAGTGTTAATCTTGTTAAAGTCCTCGCCTGCACGCTCCTGTGACCACCATTTGGCAGCCAGTTGATTTTTGGCACAACGCCGGCCCACATTTCTGGATTGTCAGCGGTGACACATCAGCTTCTAAACATTAAACTCTTCTGGGTCTTTTTTTAAATCCTGACTCTCGTCCCACCCCCCCACCCCCCACACACACACACTCCAGCTGCGTTTGATGTGGTGGATCACTCGGTTACAACTTTAACGCAGCAGCTAAAGAAACGAGTAGGAGCCCAGTAGAAGTGTCATTTTATTCACAAACACTCTGCGCCCACACTGATCTAACCCCCAACATATGAAAGCATTACATCACCCCTCCCTCTCTGGTGCTGATTGATAACAAGATGTGAGAGAAGTGGATTTGACTCAAACGGCAGCTTTACCTGCAGTGGTCGTGCAGTCTGGAGAGTTTCTTGACTCAGCTCCGGACGTTATATTCAGGAGGAAATGTTCTGAAAAGGATGTCAAAGGATGTCAGAATCCAACACCCACATCACTTTTTTTTTTTGTTTGCGCATCAAGTTCGATACTACATAAAACAAACTACAGAAAAATGAAACATTAAACTCACCGTTGAGTTAGCGTCAGCTTCCACGACCACCTCGGACATGTTTTCCTTCAAAATCAGCGCAACAAGCGCAACAAGCGCGATTAAGAAATCAGATGTGGGTGTTGGATTCTGACATCCTTTGCTAATGTCTGTGACCTGAAGTAACCCCGCCTTTTTTTACACTGAATTTTTTAAACGCTGAATTTCAGACAGTGAAACTGAGCCAGTTGAATCTGGAGACTGAAAATACTGTGTTTGAATTTTGAAAGGTTGATTTTTTTTTTTTAATGTGCCAATTTTTTTAACACTGAAAAGCAGTTATTGAAAACGTGATCGCTTTGAAATAATAGTGCGAATTTTTAGCTTGAAGTGAAAATAGCAAATTAATTTTCAAACATATAGAAATAATGACAACTTTTTTTTTTAGGTTAAAATGTTTTCCGAGTATATTTTAACACTGAATAATTAAATACAAACATGCAACATTAAAATTTCTGTGGCATTTTAAATTCAAATCCTAGCGACACATATTTACTTCCATAAATCGTCCGCCTCTTTTGATTTAAACTAAAATCAGCGCACGATGAAAAGGGACAACGTTAACGGTATTTTGGTCGAACGTTACGAAGGTCCTGGGTTCAATCCCTGGCGTGGACCTGAGGTCTTCCTGTGGACTTTACATGTTCTCCTCGTGGGTTTTCTCCAGTTTCCTCCCACAGTCCCAAACCTGCATGTTGGGCTGCTTCAGGCCAGACCTACCGTGAAAACCAGATCTGTGGGATTCACCTGATAAATAAAGGTTATAATTAAAAACACTCTCAGCTGCTACCACACAAATACCAGCACATCTCTAAAGTTGACCAAGCTAGAGCCATTTTTGTGTTGGATGTTGTCCATCAGTTGCTGCGGCCATCTTAAACTGGATGAACTCTAAGAGTTAAGCAGCTTCTGATGCACATCCAGTGAATATTTACTGAAAGTTTCACGACAATCCGTCCAGCGGTTCAGGAGATATTTTGCTAACAGACAAACAGGGTTGACTCCAAGATCTAATGCCAACATTTTACACAAAAAACGACATAACATGTAGCGCTGCTCGTATGTGATGGGCACAACTCTCAGCTACTACCACACCAAATTTGAGCTGAATGTTAAATTAACCAGTTAAAGCCACGTGTGTGTTTAAGCAGCTGGCTGTGGCGGCCATCTTAAACTGGGCTGCCTTCAAACAGCTGCAGGAGCTGAAGTTCATCCAGGGATTAGTTAAAGTTTAGTTCAGGAAAGTTTCACAGCTGGGTTTAATCTGTTAAAATTATGAGTTTAATATAAAACATAGTTTAAACTGTGCAGTTTTGATTTTCAGAAGAATCTCACCTGGATCAGCGGGGTGGGGGGGTCCACGAGGGGGGGTCCCACGGAGTCTCTCAGTCTGCAGA